TCCTGAAAAAGGTCCTTTATATTTATAAACTTTATATTTAAAGACTTTATTTTTACATGGAGGAGACCCTCTCTACGGAGGCCGCCATGTTTTTTACATTAGTCCAGAATGAACAAACTAAAACCTTTTGAGTTTTTATGACAACTGAAGTTACCACAGGTTCTTTTTCATGTTTGGAAGAGGAGGGTGAGGTGAGGGGTGTTCAGCTGCAACATGACATTTCAATACTAGATATCACTAACTTCTGCACACTGAACCTTTAAGTATAATGATGTTTAAGATGAAGACAAAAAACAAAGTTAAATTAATTAAGTTAAGTTTAATTCTTGACCCACGCTGCAGACAGACACCAGGGGGTGATCAATTCACCTCAGCTGGGGTTAGGGTCCATCTTTATAAAGAGTCTGTACTCATTTCTTCCTCAACACTATAATTTGATTCACATCTCTGATAATATAAAAAACCCCACAATATTATAGGTGTCTTCAATATAAATTGATGGCAGAACCATTGTGTTGCCTACAGATTGTACAGGTGTACCTAATAAAGTGGTCACTAAGTGTAGTTTTGTCCATTGTCCACGTTAAAATCTCATCGCAGTTCTTTCCACCTGTCCCTCTCTTTGTCCCTCAGTCGTCAGCGACACACAGGATCAGCTATGAGTCGTGGCTGGCGAGTCGAGGCCTGATGTTGTCTCCCTTTCACGTGAGGTGGCAGACGACCATGTTCAACCGGCTGTTTGCGTACTGCGCCCGCATCAACCCCCGAGCCCTTCACCTGTGGTGAGGACGCCCCCTCAGCTGCTCCTGCATCATTTCTGTTCTTTCCTCATCCAAAATGCCTCAAAGCTCCAACTCCAGTCGATCCTGTTAAACTAATCAATCACTGATGCTCTAAAATAATACTTGTTTAATTTTTTGTCCTAAACTTTTACAGTCATCATTAAAACAAATGACAGAAGTGAATCATATCTGACAGGATGTGTGTGGAAGCTTCAGGCTCATAAAAAACCCGACAGGCTTTTATTTCTCGGACAGATTTATCACATTTATAAATGAACAAATGTTGGTGCTCGACATAAATTCTCGGTCCTCTCCGTCAGGTTCAACAGTGGTCTGGTGTTCGGTGTTGTGGCCATGGTGGGATCTGTGGTGCTGCTGATAAAGACGCTGCAGCAGACGCTCGCTCAGATGACCTCAGACAACCCGCGGATGGAAGGTCAACAGGCGCTGCAAGTGGTGGTACGTACACACGCATCACCGGACTGGAGGTTTATGAGCTTTTACGACAGGTGAAATAAATAAATAAATAAAGATATTCTCCTAAATTTATCTGGTTGAACATTAGAAATTAACTCAGAGAGTAAATGTCCTTGAAAGTTCATACAAAGCTTCAATAAATTCAGACGAGAGGCTGGAAAAAGCCTCCAGTTATGACGAGGGCTCTTATTAAGCATTTTCCTCCTGTTCTCTTTTTATTCATTGTGCTGTCAAGTAGCCGCGCAGTAATATGAGTGCTGTTCCCAGAGGACCTTTGTAGGTGATTCATGGGAGGCCATTAGCAGCACATTTATGGTAAATAGCACTCAGCCTGGAGAAGCAAAAAAAA